TATTTTGTGAGTAGGTATTACAAAATCTCCCTTTTCTTCCCCCGCCCCCGAGCTTCACCGATTTATAATTGACACATGACATTGTCTAAGTTCAAGGTGTATGATGTGATTTGGTATATGTTTTTATTATAAGATGGTCACCACAATAAAGTTAGTTAACACATCATCACCTCACGTAATTACTTTTGTGTGCATGTGAGAACATTTAAGATTCACCCTCTTAGCAACTTTCAAGTACACAATACAGTACAGTTGACTGTAACCACTATGCTGCACATTAGATCCCAGAACTTATTTCTCTTACAATTAGGAGTTTGAGTAACATCTCTCCATTTCCCCACCCCTCAGCCTCTGTAAACACCATTCCTTTCTGTGCTTCTGTGAGTCTGGCTTTCTTAGATTCCTCATGTAAGTGAGATCATACAATATTTGTCTTCCTCTGTCTAACTTATTTTACTTAGTATAATGGCCTCAGTGTTCCTCCATGTTGTCCCACAAATGGCAGAATTACCTTTTTTTTAATGGTGGAATAATATTCCATTGTATATAAACATTGTATTTTCTTTTTATTTCATGTTTTAAAAGATTTCAGGAGCATCTGGGTGGCTCTGTCAGTTAAGCGTCCAACTCCAGCTCAGGTCATGGTCTTACCGTTCGGGGATTTGAGCCCCAAGTCAAGCTCTGTGCTGACAGCTCAGAACCTGGAGCCTGCTTCAGATTCTGTGTCTCCTTCCCTTTCTGCCCCTTCCTAGCTTGTGCATGCTCTCTTTCTCTCTCTCTCTCTCAAAAATAAAAGCATTTTAAAAATAAAAAAAGATTTCAAACTGTGTAAAAAAGAATTTCTTTAAAATTTCTGAAACACGTATTCTAGAAAAAAGCTTGCCACATGTATAATTTGTCATCAGTAATAGTTGTCATCCTTGAAAAGTATCAAAAACATTTTCCCTGAAATTTTATCTTATCATCACTTAAAAATTAGTTCTCTCTTATTTGTTATAAACTGCTTTAAAGTGTACATTTAAAAAAAGTTTTTATCATAGATAATATGATTCATCCATTTCTACAATGTAGTAAAATATACTGAATTTTAACATAATAATTATAATTTAGTGCTGGTTTTCACAAATGATTTTCAGAAATGGTTGTAAATGGTAGGTAGACAAAGCTTTAAATATTGATGATCTTTTTAGTTAATTCCTATATCTCAGTCTTAAAAAATTCAATACAGAGGTGTGTGGCTGGCTCAGTCAGAAGAGCATGCAACTCTTGATCTCAGGGTCATGAGTTTGAGTCCCGTGTTGGATGTAGAGATTACTTAAATAAATTTTTTAAAATTTTACAAAAATAAAATAATAAAAAATTCAATACAAGAGGCATTTATTGAGAGGATTTATGGGTCAGGTATTTGTCAAGGACTCTGCAGCGTTTGAGATCTTACCCTACTTATAAGCTAAGTTTGCTTGTTTCACGGCTGTTAGCAGAAGACACAAGACTCCTGGGTCAGAGACAAAGGACTTTATCGTCATTGCAAAAGCAGTATCCAGACTGTCACGGTTTTTGCGTTGATTTGCCATGCCCCCTCAGTGCCATGAGGGTAACACTGAAGACCCGTCATAGATACCTGTATACACAGTGTGTTGCATGTAAGGAGGGCATCCCTGAGCTTGCCACATTTTATACTAAAAAGTGTCAGTCTGCTTCTTGTCAGAGGAAAGGCATTACCTCATTCTTCAAGATTGCTCGCTGCAAACTCAACTCTGAGGAATGGCCTGCGGAAAGAGTGGTCAGGAGTGTGCATTCTTGGCATACGCAGAAGGAACGTACAGAGACACTCAGAGACCAAGGAGGTCGCCTCTTCCAGTAGGACTGTGTTAGTGAGAAAAAGATATAGCCTCCTGAAATGAAATTAGACCAAATCTAGAATACAATTTTCTAAGGCAAAACACCAGAAGTATTCGTTGAAACTGAGGTGGACAACATTACTGATGCTCCCTCCCCATCTGGGTGATGCTACTGATGAGATCTGTCATCAGTCTGATATTAATGAGCATGTGGAAGATGAGTTCAGAATTTAGGGGGATTAATTGAAAATCATTATATTAAATGTTTAAAATTTTATAAATTTAAATTTAGCGTTTCTTGGTTGAATATTACTATACTTCAATGGTTTTTTCCAAACATAATGAAAAAAACTATACCTCATAAGAGTGATGGTAACAATTGCCACCACAGCACCAATAGCAGTTAACATTTCTTTTTTTTAATGTTTATTTATTTTTGAGGGAAAGGAGACAGAGACAGAGAGCGAGTGGGGGAAGGGACAGAGAGAGAAGGAGACACAGAATCTGAAGCAGGCTCCAGGCTCTGAGCTGTCAGCACAGAGCCTCATGCAGGGCTCTAACCCACGAACCGTGAGATCCTGACGTGAGCCAAGTCGGACGCTTGCTACCCAGGAGCCGCAGCAGTTAATATTTCTTAAGGGCTTAGTATGTGACATGCACATTCAAAGTACTTCTGGGTATTAACACACTAATCCTGTATGAAATAGGTACTATTATTTTTGATAAGAAGAAATTAAGGCACAGAAAGGGTAAGTAATTTATATAATATCACATAGCTAGAGTACCAGGATGCCTTCAGCTGTGACTGGCAGAAACTCTCAGCAATTGTTGCATTTACTATATGATGCAGGAAGACCAGAGGTATGACAGATTTTAGATCTAGTTGATTCAATGGCTAAACAAAGTCATCGGTCAAAATTATTTGTTTCTTTAAACGCTCATCGTTTATGTGCTAGCTCTGCCCTCTGGCTGGCCCCACTTGTGGTCACCAGATGGCCGTGGCATTTCTTGGAATCGCTTGCACACAAGGCAGTGTTCAGAGTCACAGAGGAAAACTCTCCTCTGGTGCCGATGTCGGTGTCAGAGTGTCAAAAGCTTTCCCACAAGCCCCAACAGATCCTTCCTTCCTCATGTCATTCATGCCAGAACCAAGTTCCATACCCTCCCCGAAGACATCCGCCCAGACTGGGATCTCTGTGTTGGAGACAAGACGAGAGTTACCCTCGGCACTGGGAATATGATCACCCTGCCCTGATTTCCGGGGGAGATAAATGTGAGCCTCTGCCGGCAAATAAAAAGGAGGGAAAGGGTTGCATGGGGTGCTCCCATCAGGGTCAGCTGGTCAGCAGACAACAGAAAATAGAAGCACTCTGTCTTCTTCCGGGCCTGCCCTAAAGAGTCTGGTGATTCCACTGGGGCTTTCGTGGCTTCCTTTTTTTAGCTGACATTTTAGAAGCTGGTAGTTGTGAGTTCGATCAAATTGAAAAGAAAGTGAATCCAGAAAATTGGCTTTCTTTTTACTATTTAAGATACCCTTCATTAAAGGTCTGTAGGAAGAGGGGCGCCCGGGTGGCTTAGTCAGTTAAGCATCCGACTTTCGCTTAGGTCATGATCTCACGGTTCGTGGGTTCGAGCCCTGCGTCGGGCTCTGTGCTGACTGCCAGCTCAGAGCCTGGAGCCTGTTTCGGAGTCTGTGACTCCCTCTCTCTCTGACCCTCCCCTGCTCACACTGTCTCTCTCTCCCTCCTAGAAATAAATAAAAAACATTAAAAAAAAAAAAGTCTGTAGGAAGAGTTTACAAATACCTCAACTCAGATTTCTCAAGAAATGGCATCAAAATCCAGTACAGTATGGTAGATTCTCAAAGAAGAATCTTCAAATTGTTTGGTTTCAGGAACTTTTATAGTCTCAAAAATTACTGGGGACCTCAAAGAGCTTTAGTTAATGACTATTCATGGTAACCATATTAGAATTTTAAAAGGAGATGCTAAGAATATACATATATTCACTTAAAATAATGGTAAACCAATTCTGTGTTAATATCAATATTCTATTCTATGTTAATGTGAACACATTTTAAAGAAAAATGAACTTTATTTTTCAAAACGAAAACTTTAATGAGTATAGTGTCATTGCTTTACATTGTTGCAAACCTTTTCAGTGCCAGGCTTAGCACATGAGAGCTGAATTCTCAAATCTGCTTCTACCTTCATGTCATGTACTTGCATAACCTATAGCTTCTGGAAAACTCCACCGAACACTTGTGAGAGCATGATAGTGGAAGAGCAAATAAAATTTTAATGCTATTGGGGTGCTTGGGTGGCTCAGTTGCTTGAGCATCTGATTTGATTTTGGCTCAGGTCATGATCCCAGGGTTGTGGGATCCAGCCCGGTGTGGAATCCACTCCTACCAGAGCATGGAGCCTGCTTAAGATTCTCTCTTTCTCTCTCTCTCTCTCTCTCTCTGCCTCTACCCTACTTGTGCACTTTCTCTCTCTAAAAACAAAAATCTTAATACTATCATGAAAATAATTTTGACCTTGTCGACTCCCTGGAAGAGTATCCTGGAACCCCAGAGGTCCTCTGGCCACATTTTGAGAACCGCTGTCTTAAAGTATTTTTGCTTGATATGCCTGTGTATAATGTATAATGGCTTTAAGCAGTAGCACAGGTAAAACAGTAGAGAGGATATTAAAAGGAGGCTCAAACTGATCATATCTCAGAGAATGGAAATAAGATGAGTACCCTAGAGCAATATGCCACAGTGCAGAGTCCTAGTGAAAACCCTAGGTCATGAGCAGATAATTCAGAGCTCTCTGCACCTCATCAGTCACTTCGAATCTTTAAAATATAATATGATTTGGGGTGCCTGGGTGGCTTAGTCGGTTAAGCATCCAAATCTTGACTTTGGCTCAGGTCCTGATCTCGCAGTTCATGGGTTCAAGCCCCATGTCAGGCTCTACGCTGACAATGCGGAACCTGCTTGGGATTCTTTCTCTCCCTCTCTCTTTGCCCTGCCCCGCACATGCTCTCTCTCTCAAACTAGATAAACTTTAAAAATATATGTAACATGATTTACACAAAAAAATGTGTAATAGCACACATTAAAGGAAATATCTATTATAGAAAGCACTTTTAATCTCCGTTCTTTTTTTCCAGACTTAAAATTTCCGATGATTTGAAGGTTGGCTTTTTCAGCACAGACCATGCTACTCAAACAGATTCCAGTGAAATTTTACCATTAAAAGAGTTGAGTTCATCTACTGAGAAGCTAGTACAGGTAAATCTGGATTTTTTTTTGAAACGTCTGAGATTATTTTAGGTATTTTAGGTAACGTTTACCTTTAATGTCTCTTTCCTTCACAGAATTGAAATGATTAAAAAAATTTAAATATTAGCATCTTTTACAAGTTGAATTGGATTGACACCTGTATTTTTAAAAATAATTTGTATAAACTAGTGCTTATAGTTACATCGTGTTCACGTGTGTTTCCTAAACCATGTTGTTACTGTCCTTGAAATTCTTTTGACATCTGTGAACATTTTCTATTTGTGATACTTTTAAAAATTGTAAAATATTTTTGGCGTGTAGAAAAATGTGGAGAATACTCTAATGAATAACTTGGGCTACCCATCATACAACTTTGTCAATTCTTGACATTCCATCATATTTCCTCTGGATCTTTCTTGATTGCAAAGAAACAGCACATTTCATATACATTGGATATCAAGAGTTATTAAAGTCCTCAATCAATAAAACTGTCACACGGGATATCGTGCAACTAGAAATACTCTTGTGTACTTTGTTTTTTCACTCAACAATATAACTTGAAAATCATTCCATACCCTTGCCTATTTCAAAAGTATATCATATCATAATATGTGTATCTTTGGTTATCTTAAATCTTCTACTGCGATGAATAATTCTGTACATACTCATAGGCCAGCAAATTTGTGGCATAAATTTAAAAGTGGAATTTCTGAGTCAGAGGATGTATCCATTAGTCATATTGAAGGATATTTGCCAAATCACCCTGCACAGAGATTATACCAATTTACACCCCCACTCGTAACTTTTGAAAGTTATTTTCTAACATACTTGCCAACTTACTGTCTTTTCTAAATGCCTTCAGACCAGTTTTATAACTTTATTTCCTTGCAACTTGGCACATCCAGATGACTAACTTCTGGGCAGTGGAATTAGGTGGAAACATGTGGCAGTTTGGGGAAACCTTCTGTAAGGAACCATTCACGTGCACTTATTTTTTGCTATGTCACTTCTTCCTCCTCCCCTTCTCCCTACCTCCCGTCCTTTCTCCCGCTCCCCTTCCTCCCCTTCCCTTTCTTCCTTTTCCTTATTTCTGTGCCTAGACCATGGGTGCTAACGTTTGTACTGAGATTTTGAGGCAGTGTATGCAGCAGAGTGATAAAATGGGAGGGACCTGTGTCATTTTCACCCCTGCTTGCCCACATCAATTTCTAGTGAAAGAGAAACAATTTCTCATTTACACTTCTGTTACTTGGATTTTTAACATATAGCTGAACCGAATTCTGATACAATATGCTTAAATCAATTTGATTAAGGGTGTTTCTTCTATTTTTAATTAATAAGAGGCATTTAAAATAACATCATGATTGACTGGATTTGAATGCTTTTCCTGGGTCTACTGAATCATACAGTTTTTCTCCTTTATGTAATGATGTGGGGAAAACTGATTTTTTTAATCCCTGTAATCTTTTTTTTAAATGTATTTATAGTTCAATTTACATCCAAGTTAGTTAGCATATGGTGCAACAATGATTTCAGGAGTAGATTCCTTAATGCCCCTCACCCATTTAGCCCATCCCCCCTCACACAACCCCTCCAGCAACCCTCTGTTTCCTCTCTATATTTAAGAGTCTCTTAGGTTTGGTCTCCCTCCCTGTTTTTATATTATTTTTGCTTCCCTTCCCTTATGTTCATCTGTTTTATATCTTAAAGTCCTCATATGAGTGAAGTCATATGATATTTGTCTTTCTCCAATTTCGCTTAGCATAATACCCTCCAATTCCATCCACATAGTTTTAAATGGCAAGATTTCATTCTTTTTGATTGCCGAGTAATACTCCACTGTATATATATATATATATATATATTACATTTCTTTATCCACTCATCCATCGATGGACATTTGAGCTCTTTCCATACTTTGGCTATTGTTGATAGCGCTGCTATAAACATTGGGGTGCATGTGCCCCTTTGAAACAGCACACCTGTAGCCCTTGGAGAAATACCTAGTAATACAATTGCTGGGTCATAGGGTAGTTCTATTTTTAATTTTTTGAGGAACCTCCGTACTGTTTTTCAGAGTGGCTGCACCAGTTTGCATTCCCACCAGCAGTGCAAAGAGATCCTCTTTCTCTGCATCCTCACCAACATCTGTTGTTGCCTGAGTTGTTCATGCTAGCCATTCTGATGGGTGTGAGGTGGTATCTCATTATGGTTTGATTTGTATTTTCCTGATGATGAGTGATGTTGAGGAAAACCGATTTTTGAGTAGTAAACCTGGAGTGAACCCAACTGGACCATAATATTTCTTTTTGCTTTCTACATCATTTGCCAATGATCATTTTTCATTTATGTTCCTAAGAGACTGTCCTATAATTTTTTCTTTTCTTCTTCTTTTTTTAAAAATTTCTAATGTTTATTTTTGAGAGAGAGAGAGACAGAGAGAGACAGCATCAGTGGGGGAGGTGCAGAGAGAGAGGGAGACACAGAATCTGAAGCAGGCTCCAGTCTCTGAGTTGTCAGCACAGAGCCTACAATGGGATTCAAACCCACCAACCGTGAGATCATGACCCTAGCCAAAGCCAGATGCTTAACCGACTGAGCCACCCAGGCACCCCTTTTCTTCTCATACTATTGTTGTTCAATCTTGGCACCAGGGTCTTATTACCTTCATAAAATGAGTTGTGAGATGTTCCTTACTCTTTTCTCTGGAATAATTGGCATGAGATTGGAATTACCTGTTTCTTCACTGTTTGTTAGAACTCACTTGTAAAACTCAGCGTGCCTACTTTTATTGCTATTTTTATTTTGTTTATGGATATATTAAGATTTTCTTAAATCTTTGTGGGTCAGTTTTGACATTATGTTTTTCTAAAAAGTATTCGGTATGCCAAATTTTTAAATTATCTTCTCTTATTACTCTTAAATCTTTATTGTATCTGTAATTATATATTTTTAAAAATTATAATTTTGTCTGCATGTTTCTGTTTTTTCCTAGATGAATCTTGGCAGTTTTATCTATTTCATTAATTTTTTTCAGAGACCCAACTTCTAGATGTATTAATCCTCTCCATCATATCTTTATTTCTAGCTCATAAATTTCTTATCTTTATTATTTAATTTTTTCTACTTTTTGGGGTTCTCTCTGTTTTCCTTCCTCTAATTGCTTGAGTTGGATCTTGGTATCAATTAGGATGGCATATAGCTCTATTTATAGAAAATGCAACTATCTTGGCTTAATTAAATAAGTCAATTAGAGTTAGACAATCCGTAAATAGGGTAGTAGCTCTCTGTTGTTATCTATATACCAGACTTGTTTTATCTTTTCCAATCTCCATTATTAGTGCATGGTTTTTGCTTTATTTCTGACCTCATAGTAGCAAGATGGCTGCCCCACTTCCAGTCTCCATTTGCATTTCATAGAGGAAGGAGAGGATGAGAGAAGTAGAGAGGGGTGGTGGCCACGTTAAGAAAGCAGAAAACCCTGTAGAAAACCCCAGCTTGTTTATCATTCGCCTTAACTGTATCACTTGACCCCTGTAACTGGAGGTAGTTCTAGAGAAGCGAGCATTTTTTTTTAATGTTTATTTAAACATCTGAAGTCGGATTCTCAACTGACTGAACAACTCAGGCACCCCTGTTGATTTTTAACTTCAGTCCTCTGTTGTCAGTAAAAACTCTTTGTGAGACAAATTATTGGGTGTTTGTTTGCAACTTGTGTTCACGTGAGGTCAGTCTTTGTCATTGTGCCCTGGATATGGGAAATTAAAAATAATCTGCATTTGTTAATAGTTGAGAGTGTATATGTATGTATATGTACATGTGTATGTGTATGTATGTGAATATATGTATATGTGTATATATGTATGTATATATGTGTATAGGAATCTATGTGTATGTGAATCTATATCTATTTCTATATTTTTACCATTCTGTTCAGTACTAATATACCTATGTCAACATTCTTTGGTATAGTGTTTGGTAAGCCTTTCTCATTCTTACATTGACCTCATTTCTGTGTGTCTTAAGTATGTATTTTACAAAATATGTATATCAGGTTTTAAAAACCCAATCTCGAGGCTCCTGGGTGGCTCACTCAGTTAAGTGTCCGACTTCGGCTCAGGTCATGATCTCATGGTTCATGAGTTCCAGTCCTGCATCAGGCTCTCTGCCTCAGCAGAGGGCCCACTTTGGATCCTCTAGACCCCCATTCCTCTGCCCCTCCCCCACTCACACTCTCTCCTCTCTCTCTCAAAAATGAATATTAGAAAATCCAATCTAATAATTTCTTTTAACAGCTAGTTTCTCCTCTTAATATTAATTGTGATGACTGATATATTTTTATTTTTCTGCCAACTTATTTTGTAATTGTCCTTCAGCTTTCTTCTTTTCTTTCTCCCTCCCTACTTTTCATTGGATTGATACATTCTTTAGTTCCTATTCTCTCCTCTGCTGGTAATTAATCACTTTATCTTTATTCTTTTAATGGTTGCCTCCAATACGAACATGCACACCTGATTTTATAGCGTCTGAATTTAGTGTCAAAATTTCTATATCTTGTCCTGCATCGGTTCCTTCTGCCAACTTTCAGATCCTCTCTAGGATTCTCCTGCTTCTGTTTATTCTCCAGTGCCTTCACGTAGTCATTTGTGTTTTGTTTGTATCTTATCTAGAGTGTATAGTAGGAGTCGTAGGTCTAGTGGAGTTTGTTTGACCACACAGGGGTCCCGTGCCTCCCTCCATCAGAATATACAGACCATATAGGCCTGGCTCTTCTAAAGGCAAAGTCGTTTCTGCCTGTTCCTGGAATTTAAGGAATTCCTTAAGACTTCACTTGCTCTCAGATATTTTTTAAAGTGTATTTATTTATTTTGATAGAGAAAAAGCACCCAAGCAAGGGAGGGGCAGAGAGAGAGAGGGAGAGAGGGAGAGAGGGAGAGGGAGAGAGGGAGAGGGAGAGAGGGAGAGGGAGAGAGGGAGAGGGAGAGAGGGAGAGGGAGAGAGAGAGACTCCCAAGCAGGCTCCATGCTGTCAGCACAGAGTGGGACGCAGGGCCTGATCTCACAAACTGTGAGATCATGACCTGAGCTAAAATTACGAGTTGGATTCTTAACAGACTGAGCCACCTAGTCACCCCTGAGACATTTCTTTAAATGATTTTTCAACATGGTACCCTTTATGAGTTGACAGCATGGTCTAAAGAAAAAGGAGTATGCGTCAGTCATGACTGTTCAAATCTGAGCCTTCCATTACTGGCCATGTAACGTATTCCATAGTCCCTTAACCTCTTGAAGTCTTGGTATCCTCACCTATTTCATGAAACCTTCCCCCTAGGTTTAGGATACTAAAATGAGGATGCTAGTCTACCAGGTAGCAAATTCCAAAGTGAGTTTGATCCCAATTGTAGAATTTGCAAAAGAAATTTGCATATCAGATCAGTGACTCTTAGCTTTTGAGTTAGATCAGGGATAAGAAAAATAAAGGAGTCAGGAGGCGAAGAGGAAGAATTCCTGAAGTGATTGCGAAAGCACCATTGCCATGTTCTTCATAGGAGAGGAGTTACCAGAAGCAATCTTTCCTCAACTCAAAGCTAGGAAGGCAGGCTTGTCTGGAAACTGAAGTATGTTTACTGCTTTTGGAAGACACAGAGGACTGGTGCTCAGCCACGTGTAAGGAAGCTAAGAAGATGGGGTGGCTACGTTTGGATCAGTCTGCATGTCTGGGGTTGTTGGGGTGAGGAATTGTGTGATTGTTTCCCAAGGACCACATGTGCCCTATGAAAGAGAGAGAGAGCAGGCGCATTGTCTTGGGGTCATTCTGAGTCCTATCCAGTAGAGGCATCTAAAAGGATGGTGGGCCCCCCCAGCAGCAGAGAGAAGGAGGAAAGAACTCTAGATCCATAGGGGCTGAGGAAGGAGTAGGAGTGATCATCCAGTCTTACGTATGAATGAAGCTGCAAGTATTTGACTCGCAGTAGTCATCTTCCAAATGCCACTTTGAGGCTGTGTTTTGAGTGATGGTAGGACTTTCTAGTCTCAAGAAAGAGCAGGAAAGCCATGGACTTGCCTAAAGTTTCCACTCAGGGCAGGAGAAGATTGCCTATTGAATATATTTTAAATAGATGGTAGGAGACAAAAATACAGTGAATGTTTTGATGATGATCAGAAATGATTCTTAGTCAACATGCTGGCCATATACTTAAATGTTTGGCTAGTAAATTCACAACAAATATTAATTTTTGCCGATCTTCTCTGATTTAAAATCCACATCTTGGACTGTGCCTTTTGAGGTATGATAAAGGACTGTTGTTAATAACCCAGGTATTTTATTCTGTATTGGAAGAAACCACCAGGAACCTTCTCTCCCTTACTTCACTACCGTATGTTAATTTAGCAGATTAACTGGAGTCCTCCAATGTACATTGTATTTTTAAGAGCCAGGACAGGCCCCTGACCACATTCCAGATCATATCCCCATGTTGGGGAGGAAAAATTTTTATCTACCCTTCAATATTCATCTGGCTGGTCTAAGAATCAGATTGATGTTAGACAGATTAACAGGAGAAAATCAAACACTTTTGTGACATGTACACCCCCTGCATTTGTGGGAGAGACCCAGGAAAACTGAGTAACGCTGAAATGGCTGAAGCCATCCCCTTAAATACCACCTTCAACTAAACACAAAAGAAGATGTTGGGGGAGGTAGAGTGCAGTTATGGGGGGTTACCAGGTAAAGCACAATAAACAAGGGGATGGTCGTTATGCAGACTTAGGTCAACATAAGAGTTTCTGGGGGAGTCTGGGTGGCTCAGTCGGTTAAGCATCCAACTCATGACCTTGGCTCAGGTCATGATCTCATGGTTCATGAGATCAAGTCGCACATGTTGGGCTCTAAGCTGACAGCATGAAGCCTGCTTGGGATTCTCTCTCTCCCTGTCTCTCTGCCTGTCCCCTGCTCATGTGCACTCTCCTTTTCTCCCTTTCTCTCTCTCTCTCCCAAAAATAAATAAATAAACTTAAAATAAAAAAGAGCTTCTAGAGATTTTGAATCATTCCCCTCTTGCTGGTACAGCTAGAGACACCCTTACAAGTGGTGATTTCCCTTATAAATGTAAATGTCTCTTATAAAAGGGTAGCTTATACTCAGTTTTCAGAGCTTCTCCTTTGTTTGCAGTTTCTTAAAAATAATCAGCCTAAAATAATCAGTTTGCCAAAGAGGCATACCTTGGAGTGGCCAAATTTGCTTCTCTGTGCCCAGAATCAGGCAAGGTGCTAGAACCTTTACACAGAGCACCTTTTCTCTCTGCAATAATGTATATTTTTCCACTTTTAGGTTATTAGATCTCTTGAGGTGGATTTTGGGTTCCTCAGAGAATTGCTTCAGTTGAAGTTTGAAGACCGTCTTAAAGAGGAGTCTTTCAACCTCTTCACTACTCTACATGACAGGATCCTAGCAATCGAAAAACATTATCAAGAGGTACAAGTTCTCTCTCATTTCCTTCCATATGGCTTGATCTCATGCTTAGGTAGGTACGTACTCCCGTTTTGCATTTAGCAACTCATGATGGCAATATTATTTGCCTATGTTGTGTCTCATATAATAGATGATACACATAATAGCTTTACTAACTTGGTAAGTACTTTGGACACAAATTAATTTAATCCTCACACTCACCTCATAAAGTAGGTGCAGTTATTATCCTTCTTTTACAAATGAGGCAACTGAGGCCCAGAAAGTTTCATTAACCTGCTCAAGGGCACCAGTTAAAAAAACAGCAGAGTTTATTTTTCCAGCCAGAGAGTTTGATGTTTGAGATATGACTCTTAAGCCCAATTTTATACATTATTTGTGCTTATTATCTCTGTAAGAGCCAAAGGCTTGAAAATTCTGTTGTTTCCAGGAATTTCCTAAAATCTTTGGTCAGCTTAGCGTCTATATCTCTCATTAAGAACACGTACTGGGGGCGCCTGGGTGGCTCTGTCAGTTGAATGTCCAACTCTTGATTTTACTTGGGTAGTGATCTCAGGGTCGTAGGATCGAGCCCCATATTGGGCTCCACACATGGAGCCTGTTTGAGATTCTGTCTCTTCTCCTCTAATCCTGGCCTCCACTCCTGCACTTTCTCTCTCTCAAAAAGAAAGAAAGAAAGAAAGAAAGAAAGAAAGAAAGAAAGAAAGAAAGAAAGAAAGAAAGAAAGAAAGAAAGAAAGAAAGAAAGAAGAGAACAGGTACTGTTATTTCTCAACTATAAAACAAAAATCTCATGTTGTATTGATTCCACCATTCTAAAAGCCACACAAAGCGTTTAAAATTTTTTTTTTAATGTTTACTTATTTTTGAGAGGGCGGGGGGGACAGAGCACGAGCAGGGGAAGGGCAGAGAGAGAGGAAGACACAGAATCCGAAACAGGCTCCAGGCTCTGAGCTGTCAGCAGAGCCTGACACGGGGCTCAAACTCATGAACTGTGAGGCCCAGTGAGTGGAAGTCAGCCACTTAACCGACTGAGCCACCCAGGCACCCTGAGTGTTTCAAATGTGTTTCCTCCCTAAATCAATGCTTAAATGAAACCCGAACACCCCTGATATACAGATAAGGAAACTGAGATGCCGAGGTCAAGTAACCTATTTCATGTCAGACAGATTGAAGTGGCACAATGATATTGGAATCCAGTTCTCAACAACTCTAAGGCCTAATTGGTATTTGCACTCCATGCTGGAATCAGGATTGAAATCAGAATCAAGATTTGTGAGGTGGTTTTTTTTTGTTTTTTTTTTTTTTTAATGTACTATCTTTCATTGTTAGCCAAAACAACGGTCAACTGGTTTGGTTAATCAGAAAATGACTCTGGTTTATGGGTTAGTGGCTCTAGATTTCCTTTTATGAGCATATCCCATTCAAAAGGTATAAGGACAGGACATGAATTATAAGTAGATTTTACTACTTTTAAAATCAATTCTAGGAAAACATTAAAAAGACTTTGATATGTAAAGTGAAAGAAAACGTTGAAATTGTCTGTATTTATTTTACCTGCCTGAGTTCTCTGTTGCCTTTGGTCAAGTGTAAGTACAGGTTGAATGCAGTCCCATACTTCTGCATAGGAGAAATGGTTACACGTTGAAGCTCTCACAAGATTCGTGATGATCTGGATGATGGCTTTATACTGAGTCCCTTTGTAGGTGTGAGAGCTGTATTTGAAGATACATTATGGTGCTCATTGTATTTATTTTTTGGTTTGCAGAATGAGGACATCATAAGAAAATGCTATAATCAGCAGTTGGCTGACGCCATAGCTGTTATCAAAGGAATGTACAAGGTGGGTTTTCAGCGCTGTCCTCGGAGCACCCAGAGCTAGGCTCACTGTACGTCCCCCGTCTGTATTTTTGGGCTTTGAAGAGCTGTTTGCCCAGTTTTCAGGTCACCGTTCACACTCACATTAAATTGGCCAAAATAACACTTTATGGTACAGATGCAACTTTAAGGAGACTGGAAAATTCCATCCTGGTATCCAGGTGAGTAAGGAAATGATCCAAGGTTTGTCTGGTGAGCGTGCAGTTGGAGGGAAGGCTAGCTAGTCTCAGAGGGGTCACTGTTGTAAATCCCGATGAATAACCGGCTTCCAACCCTCGACCCTCGGTGGAGTAACTTTTCTCCTGCTGAGGACGCGTCCATCTGCCAGATGCGGTGCTTCGTTCCCCTGCGCAGTAGGAAGATCCACTGTTTCCAGTGCTTACCTTTCAGGCTTCGTAAGGACCTTGTACTTAGTTTAGATTTTGTGACTGTAATCTCTTTCATTTCGGTAAGCCTCCGGAAGAAATGTTTTATTACGGCAAGTTGTGCGTTGATTACAGGCATTTTTTTCTCGGCGCTGACCACGTTTGTATTTAATTATGTAACCGCGTGTTGCATGTTCTGTTCGACGCCAGACTGTAAGCCTGAGGAGGGCAGGCGTGTTATCGTGGTTCTCCCAGCTCTGCCGCCGCTTAGCACTGCCCCTGATGTGTAATTAGCAATCAGCTAATATTTGCCAAAAGAATGGACGGTTGCCCGCGCTTGTGGCAGACACTGGTGACTCAAGAGTGACTCTCCTTCTTCCTTTTTTTTATTAGCAGAAGCACTTCCCACTTCCCTTCACAAAATGCTGGGTCCTCTCTTTCCCTGCCTCCTCCTTTCCAGAGATGGCGTGAACACAGACAAGGTCAGGTTCCTGACCAATGTGACCTGAAGCTAAGTTGGCTATAAGCTGGGGGAGGAGGTTCTTCTTTGTAATTTAAAGAAACACTCTTCGTTTTCTTTGCTTGACATCGTTGCCTCCTTCTGATGCTCGGGATTGCCACAGCCAACCCAAAATTAAGGGCTGAGACACTTTGGCTGCACTACAGGGAGCAGAGCGAAAAGACAGAAAGCACTGGGCTCCTTGATGACATCAGCAAACAACCTAATCACTCTGGACTTGCTCGGCCTCTGGCCCTTTCGTTTCATGAGGTAATTGATTCCCGTCTTATGGTTTAAGCCGCTGTCAGTTGCCCGTTCGGTAACTTAGAGCTGAAGATATTCCAGGACCCTCTGCACTGTCAACGGCCTCTCTGGCTCTGGGCCAGTTGTGTTTCCTAAAGTGGCTACGACGGTGTCTCACTCACGTGCAGTGAGTTACCTTGGGCTTCTCCTCAATAGAGAGGGGAGGCTGATTCGCCCTCCTTGAACGTGGCCGGGCCTCAGTGCCTCGCTTGTAAGCAGAGAAGGTGAAGGCAGCGACACCGCACCAGTTCAGAGCCAAGGTCAGAAGAAGCCTCGCAGCTTCCGCCTTCTACCCGTGGGACGCGTGTTCTCTGGAGTCACCCTCCGAGTGCAGCTGCTGAGCCGTGAGAGGCTCGCGCAGTTCAGACGCCCTGCGTGTGGGTGCCTGGTCCCCAGGCTCAACCGCGCTCAACTTCCTCGTCACCCGGCCCCCGGCCGCTCAGTCTTGCCATCTGAGGTCCCAGGCGCTGTGGAGCAGAGACAAGCCGTCCCCCCAGGCCTGTCTTAATTCCCTGACGCCCGGAGCCCGGGAGCAGAGTTGTGGTTTCGCGTCACTGAGCTCGGAAAGCGGTTTCCTGCAGCAAGAGGTGGATGGGACGCTTCCTTGCACTCGCACCAATGCGCAGTTTCTGAGTTACATTTGCTGGACGGACGACAGTAGTTTCGCTAGCACAACACAGCGTCGTGGTTAAGAGTTGGTGTAATGCGTGTTTTAGAACGAGGAACTTGGAGTCAGACCACTTGGGTTAGAATCCTGGCTCTGTCTCTTAATCGTTAGGTGACTGGAGGCAAAATACTGATCCCCTCTGCCTCTGTTTCCTCATCTGTCAAATGAGGATCAGCGTAGGACCCACCTCCTAGGCTTGTTATGAAGATGAAGCAAAGTGATCCCGTGTGAAGCACTTAACGATAGTGCCTGGCACAAGATGAGTGCAATCTAAGTGTTTGCTAACTTAGCATTTCAGGGCACCTGGGCGGCTCAGTCGGTTAAGTGTGTGACTCTTGGTTTGGACTTAGGTCGTGATCTTGCAGTTTGGGGGTTCAAGCCGGCCATAAGTCTCCGTGGTTGCAGCACAGAGACTGCTTTGGAGTCTCTCTCTCCCCCTCTCTTCCCCTTCCCCACTCTTGCTGTCTCTCTCTCTCAAAATAAATAAACTTTAAAAATACATAGGGGCGCCTTGGTGGCTTAGTCGGTTAAGCGTCCGACTTTCGCTTAGGTCATGGTCTCGCGGTTCATGGGTTCGAGCCCCGCGTTGGGCTCTGTGCTGACTGCCAGCTCAGAGCCTGGAGCCTATTTCGGAGTCTGTGTCTCCCTCTATCTCTGACCCTCCCCTACTCACGCTGTCTCTCTCTCTCTCCTAGAAATAAAAAATAAATAAATAAATAAATAAATAAATACATAAGTAAACATTTTCACATAGTCACGACACTCGGCACTGGTAATTCTTTTCTGCTCTTTTATCATCTTAGTATTCAGGCTTGTAGCTTTCTGTCCATGGACTGTAGATTTCAGATATGATAAAGTGCCCTTAAGAATCTATAATAATTATCAGTATTTATTATGTTGGACAATATGAAATTGCCAGTTTTGGAGCCCCAAATGTCAAATATCAGCAATTTCATGTAGTTCACCATAATAAAATACTTATTTGAACAAATAAAGGCAGCAACAAACTACATAAAATATTAGGCTATAATAACTTAAAGTAAAAGAAATTCATCTTCAGGGCGCCTGGGTGGCTCAGTCTGTTAAGTGTCTGACTTCGGCTGAGGTCATAATCTCGCGGTTCGTGGGTTCAAGCCCCGCGTCGGGCTCTGTGCTGACAGCTAGCTCAGAGCCTGGAGCCTGTTTCAGATTCTGTGTCTCCCTCTTTCTCTGACCCTCCCCTGCTCACGCTGTCTCTCTCTCTCTCTCTCTCAGAAATAAAACATTTAAAAAAATAAAAAGAATATCATCTTCAATTTAACCAAACAATTTTTGAGTCAGTACCGTGGGCTGGACACTGAGACTACAGAGAGGAAAGAGGGGTAAAAGGAGGAGGATTATAAATTAAACCATAAGATACTTTGTTCAGTGCAGAGATAAATATATAACAGGAGGTATGTAAATTCCACAAAGGGAACAATTATTTCTGCCTCTGAGCTTTGGGAAGGCTTCACAGAGGAAGTGATGTTTGTGCTGGGTTTTAAAGCAGGTTCTCAGTGTGTGCAAGAAATACAAAGGGATTCTAAGTAGACAGTATAGTATATATAAATCAGATGTTTTCTGGGGCAAGCCATACATATCTAATTCACACTGGCATTAGTGCAAAGAATTTACTGGTCCATGTAACCACAAACTGTAAGGACAGGAAAGACTTCAGGCAAAGCTGGATCTAGGTGCTCAAATAATGTTATCGAGAAACTGCCCATCCCCTGCTTCTGCCCTCCTCTCTGAAGGTTTAATTTCCAGGAAGATCCTCTTTCCCCCTAGAGCAACCTTAGGGCATCTCTTTCTAATAGTCCCTAGAAGAGTCTCAAGGCAGACCCTGACCAGTCCCGCCTAGTAATTCTCCTCCACCCCCGCTGCGAGCCAAGCCAGATGGATGCACCCACCTCAGGAGACAATATGGTTTACCCAAGGGTTTACCCAAGTGGAAAAGGAAGTTTCGCTGCCTAAAGGGGGATTGTTGGGGAGGCAAAACTGGTTAGGCAAACTGGCTTCCCGCTTCCAATAGCCTGTGAACAGGCAAGTAGGACCTGGTGGGCTGCTGGCTGTGTCATTGCCCTGCATGGTAGCTAGTGGCCGTATGTGGCTATTAAAGTGAAGTTGAAAATGCACGAAAAATTCAGTTCCTGAGCCGCATTAGCCAGAGATTACCCAGCAACATTCTGTGAAACTAAATAACGGGAGAATTCTTCGTGAAGGCGTGCACAGGTATATGTTAGCTCTTTGTTTTATTTTTATATTTTTTATTAATAATAGTAAAAGAACAATGCCTTATTGAGTGCTATCTTTGTGCCAGGCACCGTGCAAAGGTGTTCAGATATATTGTTTTATTTAGTCTTCACGTGAGCAAGTAGTAAGAACTGGGGCCCCAAATCGATTCCTCACTTCCCGATGTGACACAAAGAGTGGGGGTAATTATAGGAGCCGTGTCACCTGCCTCGTAGTCTAACTTAATCCTCTTTCTAATTAGAAGGTAAATTAGGCTGCTACCAAAGTGCCTGTGCTCTCTGGCTCACTCAAAATGTGGTGCCCAGAGGTGAAGTCCAAGTAGCTTTTGCCTGGCTCCACTGCACGAGGTACGTAAGCATTTGAAGTGGGCAGTAGGAGGCTCCTGGGCTAACGAGGAAACGGAGGCACGGCCGCGTAAAACAACTTGCTCACAGCCACAGAGCTGGTCAGTGGTGGAGCTGGGGGTCCAGTTCCCATCTGTGTCTCTAACGTTGTTGCACAGAACATTGGACATGCCTGAATTATCTGAGCAGGAGAAAGAGAGAGGCCTTCGCACCCTTCAGGGTGGTTACTCCTTTAACGGTATTAATAGCGCTTTGGAGAAATGGAGACGCAGATAGGTAGAGAATCTAGGAAGACAGAAACCACGAAGAGTCGTCTCATTGCCCTGCGCTGTGCTTGGATTTTAATAAATGTTTCTTGGAGAGAGATAGAAGGAAGAATGAGAAAGGGCGGGGGGGGGAAGGAAGATGAGCACTATCCGTAGTTTAAGGCAGAATGTCAGAGAGGGGAAGGAAGGACAAAAGGAACCAAGTTCTGCTCTGGATTAAAAGAATGAAAGAGACTTCGCACTAAATGCA